CCAGTTGATACAATAGATGAATTGATTCAGAGAATTGAAAACTGTTGTCAACAAATACGGAATAAACCCGGAATCTTTGAACGTGTTCAATCTTCAATAAGGAGACGTGCCGAATTGTGTTGAAATGGACGGATAGCACATTGAACATTTATTGTAAATTTTAGTTATTTTCTATTTTTCACAGAACAAAATGTTTCATAACTCAGAAATAAAAAGTTTTCAGAGTACTGTTCATTAAGAGTTTTTGGTTTGTTTTAACGAGTACTACATACCTCTAAAATTTGATACCACCTTTTGGGAACACCCTGTATATATCCGTTACGATCGTAATAATTAGAGACATTGCATATTTCATTGGATAAAGTAGGCATATAATTATATCGACAAGCCCTGCATTATCGGCCCTGCATTACCGGTCACGCGCGCCTAACGGGCAGGCAACCCGTCGTACTGATCTGTATGTTGACGCAACACCCTTATATTCAAAAAATTTTCAACAGTCAATTTTATCCAAATTACAAAACCTTTCATTAAGAGTGTCTTTCAAGACTATTTTATCAAGAAAAACATGGAATCTATGCTCGGGCTTTAAACAGTTAAGCCGTTGAGTGCCATGAACATTTACATGCTTCCGGTAAAAATCATCAGAGTAAATCGCTAATTCATATTTGTGTTTGAGAGAACGAGAAGAAGTATTTTATCTAAAAGTATTCCGTCCACAGTGAACATGCTTTCGTCCGCGGAGAGCTTTCAATTTCGAGCACTCCACACTCAAAGGGTCAAAGTTAGAACCGCGAAACCGTTTGCGATTCACCCGAGGATAAAACCGCGAGGTAATCGCGTGATGTAGTGTTGCGCGATATTCATTGCAATTTCGCACTCCGGAAATTCGAGCTCGATCGGACGACAAGGATCAGTGGCGCACGGGAAAATGAAGAGGCAAAAAGTGTCGGCGGTGAGAACAAAGATCGAAGCAAAAAGCCGAGTTACGGAAACGATTTTGGACACGCGTAATATCAACAAAGCAAGTCTCTTCGATCTTGTCGTCCCGAGTCGAAATTTTGACCCTATGTTGAACTTTGAATTCTACACCGCAGTAGGGGCTAAGATAGCAAAGTAGGTTTAATTCTAATGATATAATTTACTCCTTTGACGCTGATGATGCCTGACATTCCGCTTTCGCTTTCTTTAGCATCAAAGTAGGTTGTATAATAATAGGATCTTAGGAAGTAAAGTAGGTTTAGTTGCGAACTTCTATTGAAGCTTTAGCTTTTACATAGAATATATGTATTTTATAGAATTCAAGGTTCAACATAGAGTCAAAATTTTGACTAAAAAATCAGTGTCAATATCGTCAAAATAGGTTTCACCTAGGTTGTAGATTGTCTAAGTAGGTTCAAATTATTTTTAAGAGTATCAAAGTAGCGTCAAAATTTTGACAAGGTAGAGTTAAAGGTTCAAAAGAAAAGTTAATGAGTCCAATATCGACAAAGTAGGTTTCACCTAGGTTGTAGATTGTCTAAGTAGGTTCAAATTATTTTTAAGAGTATCAAAGTAGCGTCAAAATTTTGACAAGGTAGAGTTAAAGGTTCAAAAGAAAAGTTAATGAGTCCAATATCGACAAAGTAGGTTTCACCTAGGTTGTAGATTGTCTAAGTAGGTTCAAATTATTTTTAAGAGTATCAAAGTAGCGTCAAAATTTTGACAAGGTAGAGTTAAAGGTTCAAAAGAAAAGTTAATGAGTCCAATATCGACAAAGTAGGTTTCACCTAGGTTGTAGATTGTCTAAGTAGGTTCAAATTATTTTTAAGAGTATCAAAGTAGCGTCAAAATTTTGACAAGGTAGAGTTAAAGGTTCAAAAGAAAAGTTAATGAGTCCAATATCGACAAAGTAGGTTTCACCTAGGCTATAAACCGTCTAAGTAGGCGCAAACTATCCTTAAGAGTGTCAAAGTAGCATCAAATTTTCGACTCGGAGTCGTGGTGCGACGCGCCAAATTCGATTGGAATATTTTGCGCAACGATCTGGCCGAACCGCATACTACCATTCGCATATATACCATGATGGTTTCGGGCGACTTATTTAGACCCTACTTTGTCTCGGTGTTCAGTGGATAAGGGATTCTATCGTCCAGCGAGCATGGAAGGAGGAACGGAGGAAAGCCGTAGAGGAAAGAACAAAACGAGCTTGAGATACGCGGCTTTGGCCGACCGAAGCCAAGATGGAGATATCGAGGTATCGGGATGGGATAATATCGACCCGGCGCGAAATTGAGATGAATATAATGCAACAGCGTATATCACCGTACTCGAGACCTGCTGGTGGTCTGGTTGGCGATAGCGGTCTCGCGTACCAGGCGTTTAATGAAGTCCTTCGGCTCTCGAGGATAAAACGTTGGGTGTGAAAAATCAATAACCAATATATTGCAAAAAGATTAATTATGTTTCAAAATTTTGCCAGGATTTCCATTATAGAGAGGCGTGCGATTTTTTAATTGTCAATTTTACAAAAAAATAAAAAGCGCAATAATTGATATACAATACAAAGTATCCTAAAAAAATTACGCACGAAGATTTCTCTCCCGACCCGATTGATTTGGATGAAACAGTTTTACAAAAATAATAACGTCAAAAAATACGCAAGGTAAAATATATATGCAATATCCCGAAGCTGAGCCGCGCAGATTAATCACGCGTGTGTCTGGCTTGATGTAACATAAAATATAAAAGTACATAACGGGTCGTTTACCTCTGGACGCCTGAAAAAAGCTTGTTATATAACCTAGAAAGCTTCTTTCCGCAGGAGAATTCCGCAACGCGTATCAATTTGTAATTCTGTATATTTATTGTACAAGTATAAAAGAATATCAAAAAAGTAATAGTCGTTCGGAAAAAAAATATCAAATCTTTAAACACGTTTTTCTCGATATCACATTTTCGCGAAATTAACGTGCCAGATTTATGGAAAACTATCGAACCGATTGAATTCAAACTTTCCACATACTTCCAATATATGCATATCGTGAGAATATATATCTCGAATTTCACAAAAAAATTGAAAATTAACAAAATGCCGCAAGTACAAAATGAAGTTGTGTTTTTCTTTATGAAAAGAGCAACTTTATATAATGAAAAAATACTAAATTTTAAAATTTTAGCAAATTCGATGTGCTTTTGATGCGTGTATGTATTAAAAATATGTGGAAAGTTCTCAGTTGGATAGTCCTTTTTCGAGGAATTCTACATACTGATTTTAAAAACATGATATCGAGAAAATTGACACATTGCGGAGTCCAGAAAACAATTTTGAATATAACCTATTATCTCGAGCGTTCAATAATAAAATTGAACGAAACTGCTATTAGACGGAACATGATTTTCCGCATCGAGACACGTCACGTTCTTAATATTAAAAATCAAATAATCCGATTTTACGATAAAAATAAAAAAACAGGCATCGCCGCTAATTAATAACATTAAAATCTGTTGCGATACGTCAACATATCACGATATATCATGCTCTTCGAGTCCATCCAGTCAATAATTTTCAATTCAGGATACGTATTTTTATTCAATTAGGAATACGAATCGAGGCAATAATTTAATAAGCGACTGAACGATTGCGTTCTATTTCTACTCGAAAAGATTAAATATTAAAGATTTATTAGTGAATACACGTCGCATTACAGTCGCGATATAAATTTATTATATAACACGTATTGATGTTTATTCAACCAATTCGATTAAATCAATCGACCTGTGATTAATCTAATTAACGAATTGGAGGAAAATATTATATATATGCACATATACATATATGTGTGTGAACATATGTATGTCTACACATACGCATTGTATACCATATGGCATATTATATAATATGCTCGAGAAAAAACATTAATTGAACACGAGAACATGACAGTTTGCAAACAAATACATAAAATTTTGAGATATTAATGAAAGAAGATCGTATGATGTCGTGGGGCAGTTTCTATAAGCGTAAGATCTCATCAAAAGTAAATAAAACGCGACTATCTCTAAGCACAAACGGATATCAGTCGAAATATCAGCTGAAGGTAAAGTGTCTCGATGCAGACTATTTGAGAAATGAATTTCAATAATCAAACAAATTTAGTTACACGCATTTACACGCAAAGTAACTGATTAAAGACAAGCTACAATAATAAATTCTTAAGATATTAGTGTATTCGAATCCGGGATCTTTGGATTGTGAGTTATTTGTCTCTCTCTACACGCTACGTCATTTCTTCAATTATAATATAGATCTATCATACAGGGCCTAACACAAGACATACAAAATCACATGTAAAGGCAGAATACATCGTGTTCAACCTGAACACGACATGACAGTTTGCAAACAAATACATAAAATTTTGAGATATTAATAAAAGAAGATCGTGTGATGTCGTGGAACAGTTTCTATAAGCGCAAGATCTCATCGAAAGTAAGTAAAACGCGATTATCTCTTAGCACAAACGGATATCAGTCGACAGCTGAAAGTAAAATAAGGATGTGACCAAAGACAATTAATTTTTGACGTATCGTGTCGTTAAGAAATAGCCACGTTTCAGTATTTTCGATGAGACGTCGCGCTAACAAAGTCCCACAAACTCGCGCACTCTGATTCGCTAATGTTCTTTTATTAATATACAAAATTTCACAGTTGTAAAATATCTAGAGATCTTCGTTCGCTCGAGTTTCACCGTATCTTTACACGTGATTTTATATATCATGAGTCAGACGACCTATACATTGACTACCTATATAGAGTCAAATACCAGAATATGTGACTATAATAATCAGAAATTCTGTTTGGTTCAATTAACAGTCGTTTAACCAAGTATGTTACATTAATGCAATCCATTTCTTTCGGTGTGTTTTTACATATGTTTCAGGCAGAAAAATATTTGAATGAGTGATTGACTGTTAAGACGTTAAGAATGGTGAAATAAAAAGCGTTGATTGACACGATGGCGAACCTTTTTCCCAAGTGATGCTGGCGATCGGGAAGCCTGCGACGGGACACTTGATGACGGTCGTCTCGCCGGCCACCGCGGCATAGTTTCCCATCGTTCGTACATGAGGCAGCCCGTAAATATTGAGTCGGGCCGCGTGATGCGCTCTCGCGACGCGGTTCACCGCCGAACACCTGTATTCGCCGCCGTCCTCCACTCGCACGGCGCTTATGTTCACGTGGGAGATCACGTCGCCGTGCACCGTCACGTACTGGCCTATCATGAATCTGCAAGCAAATCGCCGCTATTCCACTGGCCCGCTGCGATTTCTCTCGCCGGCGAGAGAACACGTTCATCAAACTTGGTCCACGCGCTGTGTGTTTCAATATTGTCGACGTGCTGTGTCGATGCTTTTATCCGTTACAATTCGAATGAAACGCAGCGCGAGGCTCGTCATTAAAGAATCGTGAATAAATGCGTTACTCGCGTCGGACTTTTCTTGCATTCCGTCACGCAAGAAGAGACACTTGGCTCCCTCGATATTTTTTCCTCGGCAAAATTATTCTCATCACGACTCGCTCTCGGCGATAATCATTCGGCAAAGAGCAGGATTACAATTCCGTCGCGGGTTATGCTCGACTTACGCGATCGCCTGTTAAATCCATCGCTTGGAATCGGCCGGCTTTTAAAAACGTCCAGACTGAACATCGTGATTGGTAATTTTCCTCTCAATTGGTTCAGAGAATCGAAGCCCGCGGGGGCCTATCGGGTTCTCCCACGGGATCCGCCTCCGCCGGATGGAAACCCCGTACACCGATTTCCCGACGATCTCGCGTAATACCCTGGGGTTAATAACCGCGAATAATCTCGCGTACATCGTCCGTCCGATTTTTGGTGCCATAAACTTCCGCTCAACGAGAAGAGGGCGAAACGAGTTAGATCGAGTTTCGGGATTGTGTCGCGCTCGTTCGTTCGCTCGCTCGCTCGCTCACTCGTGCGCGCCTCCGTTTTCTCTCTCGCGAAAAGACAGACGGAGCGAAGAAAACTACTTGTTCTACCTGTCGTTTTGCGGAAGTGGAAATCCGTCCAGAGTCCAGGAGAAGTGCGGCGTAGGGTTGCCCATCGCGATGCACTTCAACGACACCGAGGGGCCTGGCTGCATCGTCTGCTCGATGAACTTGTATAGCAGTTGAGGCGCAGCATCTATACGGCAAGATAGATTTATGATTATCGAGAAGAATTCTGCACTTATGGAATAAAAATTCTTATAAAGAATAAGAGAGAGAGAAAGAGAGAGAGAGAGAGAGAGAGAGAGAGAGAGAGAAAAGAAAGATTATAAATAGAATTGAGAGAAGTATGGAAAGAAATTGATATTTTCTGGAGATTTTTCTGAAAATTTGTCTCAAATAACAGTGATGCGAATCAATGTAACAAATTCTTTCTATACGTTTATGTTTAAATGTAGTTTAAAGTATATTTGCGCTCTAGATTCTCTTTTGTAAAACGTGTCAATGTCTCCTTTGTAGAACTTGAAAAAAATTTCGGAGATGCTATTTAACGGTTGAATACGTTCTTTGCGGATTGACAAAGTACCTGTGGAAATGATTAAAAACCGCGACGATAACAGGGAAAGCATTCACTTTCTTCTCGGCGGATTGCCCAACAATATTACCACAAAGGTAAGCCGCATCAGTGCGCAATGGCCTGCATTTGGTATTTCGAAATTGCGGCGCGCTTGGCGTAGCCGGTGCGTCTAAATCCACCCTGTATATACGCGTATAACTCGCGCAAGCGGCGCGGGAATATTCGCGGAAAATCTCCGTGCGATAGTCGGGATTTTCTTCAAATTTACCTCCGTCAGAGAGAGAAAATTTCTCAGACTGTTCTGCGCTGCACGCAAACACCATCTCTAAACAAGCGCAATACCTGGCCAAGCTAGACAAAGATCTACGAGTATCAATAAACCGTAGAGACCAGGTCGGTAACTTCAAAAACGATCGCGACTATATCCTCTTGAACCATCAATTGGATCTCAAAGTCTCGATCTTTTCAAATAATAGAAATTTCCGTTAGTTTGCGACATCTAACGGTGGTGATTCAGAAAAGAAAACTATTTCACTCGCTAATAGAGTAATATGATTATTTTTTATTAATATATTTATATATTTCTTTATTTTCATGATAAAACTAACATCACCACTGATTGGGACATTCACCTTATGTCATAAAATTTGGGACTACTAAATCTAGTACTAAACTAAACTGTTATGTGGTACATTAACCCCATTTTTGAGAAAATATTATAAATAAAATAAAATTTTTGTATAAGTTGGAAAAATATAACATCCCAAATTAAAACTCCAAATGTTCAAGCTTTCCAACAAAACAATTTTGTACGTATTTAATTTAACATATACATATGTATACATTATTAATTAATTAATTAATTTTAGTCAGTAATTGGAACATTCGCCTTAGAATGAATTTGTTTTCAGTGATGGTTACACCGGATCTGTTTTCAATAATGGATACACCGGATCCTCTTCAATTTCAAATAAATTTATTTATCCGACAATTCAGAGTACAAAATTCACTCTGTACGAGTGAAAAGAATTTGAGTGACTCGTCCGTCGGCTCTATTTTTTGAATGAAATTTCACTCGAAAAAATTTAAAGTCTCAAAATTCGGCAATCTTTCGAGTTGTCTCCTCGTGAAACGTTGCCGTGAACTCACGTTATCACGGAGAATGCGGCTCGCGCGACGGAATGTCGGCCTCTCGTTTGGCGCGCACCTGAATCAGGTGCATGTAGCGCTGTGCGCACGTACACACACACAGTCATACACGCACACTGCAACGGCCTGCGGCGGGCATTGCCGTGGAAATGGCCCTGGGTCGCCGCAAGGCGGGGGTATTATGCACGCAACATTTACATGACAAGCCTGGTGCGCGCGGGCGGAACTATCGATCTGCGGTTTGACGCCTGAACTCGAGTGCCGCCCGGTGAATTAACCCCAAATTATACAGCCGACAATAACCCGGATAGGCGCAGGTGGAGGCGAGGGTGATGGCGGTTAGGCAGGGTAAGGAAGCAGGTAGGCAGGTAGGCAGGTAGGCAGGTAGACAGGTAGGTAGGTAGGTTGGTAGGTAAATAGATAGGTAGGTAGGTAGGTAGGGTCGAGTCGGTTGGTTGGTTGGTTGGGTTTGAGGCGGCTGTTTGCTCACGGCGTAAATCAGAATGCACTATTGCACACACGGGTTGTGCCACGCCCTGGTTTTGCGGGTCCCGCGTGCATTATCGCGCGGGTACCGTGCCGTCGTCATTGTTGCCGCCGTCAGCTCGACGACGAGTCGAGTCAACTGTATTTTCATCGGGGCGGGGGCGCAGAGAGAGAGAGAGAGAGAGAGAGAGAGAGAGAGAAAAAGAGAGAGACACAAAGGAGGGAGAGAATGAGGGAGAAACAGTCTCTCTCTCCACAGATGGGGCCGATGGGTAGCCGTGGAAATTCGCGGATTGAATTTCCGAGATGTGCGCAAACCGGATCTCCGAAATGTGTGGAGTGGATTTACGAAGTGTGTGATCGAGTTTCTAAATGGCGGCGGGGACGAGAGTGAGGTTCTAAACTTATCGGCTTTTCCAGGGGGAGGCCTCGTGCCAGAACGCGGTAATCTACTAAAATTTCTGTGCGCGACAATTGATATCGTCGTTATTTCGAACGTATATTTCGTGGTTCTGGCGAGAATCTGAAGTGACTATATTGAAATAAAATGATACTAATCGAAATTTAAAACGGGATAAGAATAGGATCGAGACTTTTGATTTTGACAGCTTGAATATGAGCTAATAGTGAGCCGTACGAATTTCATATACACCATTGCCATACTTTTTTTGCATATCTACTAATATTATTCACCTTCGCATTTTTAGCGAAGCTAATTCCCTCCAGACTTTATTAAAAAGAGACATGTGAAATAGTCCTTATAATCTTCGCTCGATCATTCCAAAATAATGACCAGCGTACTGATACTTTCGTCCGAGACCAGTCTACTCGAGATCGATCGAAGGACCCGTCGCAGCGCAGAAATGGTCCCGGGACATCCTACGCAGCCGTCATTTTTCTCCGTAACAGCCGCGCGGCCCTCGTATCTCACTGTTGTCGATACGCGATACGTATCCATTAGTTTTAGCGGACTACACGTCGATCGTTGTATATCGCTTTCACGCGCGGCGAATCGGCATAATCCTTGACAGATTTGCAGCAGCCCCGGCACAATTCACCCCGACGCGTCCGCGATTGCGCGCGAGTGCATCCGCGCGACTTCGCCGCGAACGATTATTCGCGAGCGCGCGCCGCGTTATTACACACCGGGCTTTGTGTCATTAATGCATGCGGACAACGGACAACCGGCCGCGATGACTCCGCAGTGCCTCGTTATTTACCCCGGCCGTACGCCGCGATTCGACGAGCGCACCGTAAACAAAGTGGAAGTTTGCCAGGATCAAGGCCGGAAAATTTATTTAACACTCCGCGCGCGGCCGGCTCGAGCGTATTTAATATCGCGTTATCGCGAAATTCGCGCGAGAGCGCGTAAGAGCATCCCGCGCCGATATTGTCCGCGAATCATGGCGTAATCGGAGAGGAAGAGTACATCGCTGCGTTTGCATTAGGGAGTCATATAAAAAAAAGAATCGATATTGATGACATCACACGTTGAAGTCGAGCTATCAACGGTGCAATCGATAACTAGCGTCGACGCAAACACCACGAGAGCGGGAGAAAAGGGAAGAAGGAAATGTTACATGATGCAGGTGGCGTAAAATTTTTGTGTTGAATTAGAAATATAATTTTCAGAAATATAGCTGCTTCCAAAAATCGCAAATAAACATGTTAATAAATGTTTTAAGGCACTGTTATCTTTCCATGAAGCTTATGCCGTTTTAGATTAATAACAAAGTAGAAAAATATGAAGGTCGATAACAGTTCTGACGATCGGCTTCGGCCCAGTTCCTCCGTTTAACTTTAACTACCGGTTAAGTCTCAACAGTGATTGGTTAATTCTGATTAACTCTTCTTAACGCTAAATGCGATTGGTCAAGTCCAATGGAATAACCCGTCAGTTAAGTTAACTAGAGGTTGTGGAACTGAGCCTTACAGGGTGCGGCGCCAAAATCCGGACAAATTATACATTTTTTCCAAACATATTTTTTATTGCAAAAACGAAAAGGTTTACAAAATGTTTTTAACCACATTGTTTGTAAGGCCATAAAGAACACATTTACTCAATATATCCCCCGCTTGCTTGAATGATCGCCTCCATTCTCGGTCTGAAGTGTGTGCAGGCGCGCTTTAATGTGTCACGGCCATATCGGTGAATGCCGCTTCAATAGCGTCTCTCAATGATGCGACGTTTGGATGTCTGGACTTGTTCGTGACCCTTTCAACTACGCTCCATACATAGAAGTCCAAAGGATTCAAATCTGGGCTGTTAAGGAACACAAAAGCAGGTTGCAGCGTTCAACTCGCTTTGTCCTGGCGGCTTCGGAAAGCATCTGTGTTACTTTAATTGTGTAAGACTTGTAGCGGAGGTCCTCCTCGACGCTTAGTTTTCTCGCTCACACTAACAACCGACGACAATTTTCGGATCGACTGCCCTGGATCCTCAAAAATCAGCTCCTGAGCCCGTTGAATGATGTCGGGCGTCCTGACAACGCGCTCCTTCGAGCGGGTTTTCCTCGCCGGTGTTGCAAAACCTTCGTTGGACTTCTCCGACTCATTGTACTTTGCGACGACATCATACACAGTCGATCTCGGGCACCCGAAGAACCGAATGATTTCTGTCGCCGAGCGCCCAGCGCGAACACTTTCGATAATCGTGGCTCTTCGGTTATACTCCGCACTTGGTTTCAACATTGCGACTGTTTCGAGGTTATGATGGTTTAGTACATGCGTCAAGCTATTTGAACGCTAATCGCGACATCTACCAGTGGTATAGAACGGCGAGAATTTCAAACTGAATTTTGTCCGGATTTTGGCGCCGCACCCTGTACAAATAATCGTATCGATCTATATACGGGGAGAATATTGTAATTTATTTCTCATATAAATTCTGGTCCATTATTACTATGTTTCTAGTATTGAAGAATAAACTGTTAATAAGGTCTGTTTTGCTAAGAAACAGTAAATTTCGCTAAAAGCATAGCAAA